AGGAATGCCCGGCATGGATGAAATTTGTCATTACAAATAGGAAGTGAGTCAGTCAGCATGTCTGAGTGCTTTTCTCCAGCAATGGCTAGCTGCAAGGGGTTAGGCTCAGAATAAGTGGATAGTTGGGTTTCACTAGGGTTGGGGTTTTGCCAGAGAAGAATATTGGTGTAGAGCACAAGAATGAAGGGTCTTTGCAAGGGGGTAGTTTTCATACTGGACCATGGAATTCATGCTTGGGTAAGGAGGGAAGTGAAGGAGGGTGATGAATCACAAAAAAGTGGTAATGGCAATGGTTTGGAGGTTTGCGGGGGTGGGGGGCGGTGATAAGTACCTGAATAGGGATTCCAAGACAGCGAGCTGGAAAGATAGGAGGTGGTTTCTGGAGTGTGGGATACTTGGAAAAAGATTTTGGAGGTGGTACTGACTGAAAAATGAAGTGAAAAGGTATACACCCTTTACCTCAGGCCCTGCAAAATCTTAAAAGGTAAACATAATTAGCTGAGGTTTAAATTATCTTCTGCCAAAGTGCCAATCAGCTGGACCGTCTAAAGACTTCTTGTCTTCACCAGCACGCACACAGCCCTGGCAACACAGCGCTATCTCTGCGAACAGAGCTGCCCTCCCTCTGCCACCTGGTTGATAGCGGGCTGCAGGAGATGGTTCACACTTTAGTTTCCTGCAGAGACTGACAAGGCAAAGTCACATATTCTTAGAGTTTCCCAGTACTTTATGATTGCATTTTTTCCCTTTAGAGCAACTTCCAAGGTAAGGAAGATAAAAAAGTATGTATCCAATGACTAGATGGGGAAGGAAAGGCCCATTCAAGATGTTTTAAGGAGTATTTGCGGGGAGGCTCATGGTGTTAGTGATAAATTTGAGAGTGGAATGTAAAGGTCTTGGCCATAAGGAAGATGCTATTGTTTTAAAGTATTATTACCCTTCCATTCATTCAACAAACTAGCACCTATTATGTGCCAGTCAAGATGCTGCTAGGTCAGTGGTTCCTAAACTTTTTGGTCTCAGGACCCCTTCCTTTTTTTTTTTTTTTTTTTTTGCAGTACGCGGGCCTCTCACTGTTGTGGCCTCTTCCGTTGCGGAGCAACAGGCTCCGGACGCGCAGGCTCAGCGGCCATGGCTCACGGGCCCAGCCGCTCCGCGGCATGTGGGATCTTCCCGGACCGGAGCACGAACCCGTGTCCCCTGCATCGGCAGGCGGACTCTCAACCACTGCGCCACCAGGGAAGCCCCAGGACCCCTTCCTTTATACACTCTTAAGAATTGTTGAGGACCCCAAAGAACTTTTGCATATGTAAATTATATCTATGGATAATTATTGTTTTAGAACTCAAACCTGAGGAATTAAAAAAATATTTATTAATTTAAAAATAACAAACCCGTTACATGTTAATATAAATAACACTTTTTTTTTTTTTTGCGGTACGCGGACGTCTCACTGTTGTGGCCTCTCCCGTTGTGGAGCACAGGCTCCGGATACGCAGGCTCAGCGGCCACGGCTCACGGGCCCAGCCGCTCCGCGGCATGTGGGCATGTGCCACCAGGGAAGCCCCAACATAAATGACACTCTTAATGAAAAAAATTTTTTTTCAAAACAAAAAAGTCTAGCAAGAAGAGTGGCATTGTTTTACATTTTTTTCCAAATGTCTTTAATATCTGGCTTTATAAAAGACATCTAGGATCTCATATCTGCTTTTGCATTCAGTCTGTTGCCAGATCCCATATCATGTGTCCTCTAGAAGGTACATGTCCACTATATACTCATGAGAAAATGAGAGTTAAAAAGGAAAATAGGGGGCTTCCCTGGTGGCGCAGTGGTTGAGAGTCCGCCTGCCGATGCAGGGGACACGGGTTCGTGCCCCGGTCCGGGAAGATCCCACATGCCGTGGAGCGGCTAGGCCCGTGAGCCATGGCCGCTGGGCCTGCGCGTCCGGAGCCTGTTGCTCCGCAACGGGAGAGGCCACAACAGTGAGAGACCCGCGTACCGCAAAAAAAAAAAAAAAAAAAAAAAAAGGTGTTGCCATTTGAGTTGGACCTTGAAGCATGAGTAGGTATATAACAGAGGAGGTGATGGCTTTCTTTGCTGAGGAACAGCGTGAATAGTGGCATGAAACAAGCCCAGTGTTCCCAGAGTATAACCTGCATGAAGGGAAGTTACTGAAGAGAAGGCTGGAAAAGTACAGTGGAAGGACAGACTACAGAGCCTTTATTCTGCAGGTGATGTGAAACAATTGTTAGCTGCTACATAACAAATATTAGCTGATGTTTGTGCCCCTACTCTATCTAGGGTAGGCACGATATTAGGAATTTAGTTCACTCACCAACCCACTGAAGCTTTGAGTATTTAATTTGCATACTTGGATCTCTTGGTCTATTATTAAACTGACTCCTATTATTAATACATTTTTTTCTGAAGTTCTGAAGTTCTTAGGATTGTAAATGAGATATTTCCAGAGATATGGATAATAAGATAAAAAGGGGTAAACCACAGAAATCGAGGACCTCTTAGTTTCCTAGAAAGAAGTGGCTGTTCTCTGAACAGTCCCAACAAAGAGGAGCAGCTGGCCTCCTCTTGGCTCCTAAAAGATCTTACTGCTGTCCCCAGTGCTCAAAACTGCTACACTCCCTCGGTAACAGATACTTGACTTCAGAGGTGTCGATTAAAAAGTTTTAGCAGAAATAAAGAAATGGACTAAGACCAAACTCACAAGAGAGAATCAAATGTAGCAACTAAGATTATGAGACATAATTTTTTCAAAGGATAATGGTCTGTGCTTCCTTCTTTGGGTGTTGTATGCTGTGGTTCTGTGGGCTCAGGATACAAATATGACTTGAATATGACTTGAATGGGAAGTATAAAAGAGAGTAAACAGTTCTGGGGGCTCCGTTTCTTTCCTTCTCTGTGACTTCAGTTTGCCCCACCGAGGGAACTGTCTAACAGGGACACCACCTGAGAAACATGAGTTCACTTTTTTATGAGACATATGTGGGTTGGATGATGAAATACCTCAAAGCTAGATCCTAGGCAGAGCTAAACCATTGGTTAAAAACCCTAAAACCGAGGGGGCAGG